TATATGCGTTTGACTTTACACTGTCACGTCACTTAAAAAAAAACTAATTTAATTACCCATAATATGTTGAACCATTAACCTGAAAAATTAGAGATGTAACATCCTAACTAGTGTGCTACAACATTTTAAATTATACTTATAGTATAAATATTAACATCCTAGTTGCTACAACATTTTAAATTACACCATAGTATAAATATTTTCTAAACACTATTTCCTGAGTAAATAAGCATAAGACAGACCTTAGCAGTCATGGAGTGGAGCTCATGATCAGAATTAAGTTCGCTGGAAACAGACGAAGAGTCATCGCTGGAATGAGCATCGGTTGAATAATGTTGATCGGCGGGGATATCTTGACTGTGATCCCTAAACCTAAACCTTCTTGATGTTGAAGAAGCAGTAACCGTGTCCATGTGTGGATTGTTGATGGTGTCAACAAGAATGAATTTGAGGTGTTGACTGTTGAGTGAGGAAAATGCTTGTAATCTGTTGTGTTTCGGCCATTGTAAATTTCTGTAAATGGACAAGCTTTGATCTTGACGTTAGAAGCTGCCGAATGAAGAGACTGGTTGGCGGGACAAGGAAATAATTAATGTCTCTATACTTTTTACTTTCTCGTTTCCTTGTGCTGTGACCTGCCAATGCCCGCATCTTTTTTGGACGTAGTATATTTAATTAATTATCATGATATGTTTTTTTTCTTTGAAATACAATCAAATTTTCTTTTTTAAAAAAAACTTAAGCTATTACGTACGTAGTTATTTTTTCCATGTCATCTATCATCTCACACTTCCCCCTCACCGGATCGACTAATAACGTTCCCACATAAAATGATGAATCAGTTTTTTTGAAAAAATTCTAGTGGCTTAATGAAAAAGTTTTACCTTCTTTTGCCTAGTACCCTTTTTCCTAATATAATTTCAAGTCCACAACATTCATCCGATCCCCATGATATGAGACTAAATGGCAAAATTGCAGACCATCTTGTCATGAAAGTAATGGAGAATGATTTGCAATTTTTGAAACTAATCGAATGGGATAGCAATGGTGACTCCAACTTCATCCTTCCACTGTAAACCCCAAGAAATATAAACAACTGTCAGGATCGGGAACCCGGGTAGTGCGGAATATAGCCAAACAACGGTATAATGGTAACAACAAAGACAATGAAAGTTGATAACAACGACAATTAAAGTAGATAAAGAAGACACAAATTTAACGTGGTTCGGTCAAAGGGACCTACGTGCACAAGCGGAGACGGGCAATTTACTATAACAATAAGAGTACAAAAGAGAGTACAAAATTAGAGTAAATACTCTAATTAATCCCAAATACCCTAAGGGAATAACTTCACAAGATCACTCCAAAGAAAGGGTTCACACAAGTGCTTCCAACACTAACTCTCATACAAAACACTCTTAATAAAGGAAGAAAAGAAGAAACAAGAAATGAAGACTCAAGTCTTGTTGGTGTGTTTCCAAATTAGTAGAGAGTCCTCATTATATAGGAAGAGAAGAAAGAAATGATTGACCAACAATTGGCCACATCCTCTCAAAATACAAGGCCATTTATTGGGCAACAAGGCCTTAAATAAAAGACTCCAAATGTGCCAACAAGGCTCACAAATAAAAAGCCTAAAAATAAGGCCACCTTTTACAAATCTCCACCTTGGCCTAATTTTGGCTGATATAGTAAATTTGTTTCACCTTCTCCGCAAAAGCCCCAATGGGCATATGTCAAAATTTAATGCCATCAAAATCAGACAAGTTGTCTGATACCGAAACTGCAGTAGGGCCTATAACAGTGGAGCCCAATAAAGTATACAACGAACCAGATCTGTGTGCTTTCATGATCGCAAGAGCATCTTGAAAAACTTTTAAAACTCCACCTTCACTAGTGAATTTGCACCCAAGGGATTCTAAAGTGCCCAAAGATATGAGTTTTTTCTTCAACTCAGGAACATATCTAACATCGGTGAGAGTTCTCACCACATCATCGTGCATTCTGAACTGAATTATACCTTTGTCAATAACGTTGCAAGTAACATTGTTACCCAATTGGACAACTCCACTTGTAACTGAATCATATGTAGAAAATAAGTCCCTGCTAGGACACATATGATATGAACAACCGGAATCTAAAATCCACTCATTTTCTAATCTGAAACTAGTTTCAGTTGCTAAAAATATAGTTCCCTCAATCTCATCAGTTGCTACACTAGCTTCGGCGGTGTCAGTATTTTTGTGCTCATTTTTTCTTTCTTTATGCTTTTTTTTTTATTTTTCAGTTTATAGCATTCAGAAATATTGTGGCCTTTCTTATGACAATAGCGATACTCTAAATTATTGTATCTGGAATTGGAGTCGGATTTGCCCCTAACAAACAAGCCAACTCCCGCTTGAGTTCCACTAGCTTCCCCAGTAATATCACTATCTATCTGTTCTTTTGATTTTAAGATAGATTTAATATCCTTATAAGAGATATTATCCTTTGCATAAAGCATAGTATCTCTTATATGCTTAAAAGATGGAGGTAGAGAACAAAGCAGTAACACGGCTTGATCTTCATCTTTAATTTCAGTATCTATATTACTCAAATCCATAAGAATGGAATCAAAGGTGTCAAGATGAGAGAGAATAGAGGTACCTTCACCCATACGAATTGTATAAAGTTTCTGCTTCAGGTAAAGTCTATTTTCCACCGTCCTCTTCATATATAAGGTTTTCAATTTTTCCCACATGCCTTTGGCTGTGGTTTCTACAGAAACTTCACGTAAAACATCATTTGAGAGATTTAAAATGATACCTGTTTTTGCCCTTTTGTCTATGACGGCAAACTCCTCATTCGTCATTTTATTCGGCTTCTTCTCCTTTCCTTGCAATGCCAAGTCTAAGCCATCCTGAATTAGGATAGCTTCCATCTTTAATTGCCACATTCCGAAGTTTGCACTTCGGTAAAATTTCTCAACATAGGTCTTTGTTAGAGTCATATTGGCTACTGAAATAAATCTGATTTGATCCGGCTCTGATACCAATTTGTTAGGATTGGGAATCCGGGTAGTGTGGAATATAGCCAAACAACGGTATAATGGCAATAATAAAGACAATGGAAGTTGATAACAACGACAATTAAAGTAGATAAAGAAGACACAAATTTAACGTGGTTCGGTCAAAGGGACCTACGTCCACAAGCGGAGACGGGCAATTTACTATAACAATAAGAGTATAAAAGAGAGTATAAAATTAGAGTAAATACTCTAATTAATCCCAAATACCCTAAGGGAATAACTTCACAAGATCACTCCAAAGAAAGGGTTCATACAAGTGCTTCCCAACACTAACTCTCATACAAAACACTCTTAATAAAGGAAGAAAGTAAGAAACAAGAAATAAAGACTCAAGTCTTGTTGGTGTGTTTCCAAATGAGTAAAGAGTCCTCATTATATAGGAAGAGAAGAAAGAAATGCTTGACCAACAATTGACCACATCCTCTCAAAATACAAGGCCATTTATTTGGCCAACAAGGCCTTAAATAAAAGGCTCCAAACGTGCCAACAAGGCTCACAAATAAAAAACCTAAAAATAAGGCCACCTTTTACAAGAACGATGAAAAAGCTCATTGGCTGCAGAACTGTCACCCCACCCCAACTTTTCCCTAAGTTCTGTTCTAATCAGTGGCGGACTCAAGTGGTGGCTAGCGGGTTCAACTGAACCCGCTTCACAAAAAAAAATTGTGTATATGTATAAATTAGGATTAAAGTTGTGTAAATTTTGCATAAATATTTTATTTGAACCCACTTGACAATTATTATTTTACGACTAAATTTATATACTTATAAGATTGAACCCGCTTACACAAAATTATGGGTCCGCCACTGATTCTAATAGCTCCAAGTAATGTGGCATCAGTGAAAGAGGAAAGAGAGAACATGGGTGTGAAAGAAAATGATAAATAAAGAAAAAGGGATGTAATAGGGGGAAAATGGATTTTTTTTTTTAATATAAACTCCGGCGCATGCAATGTAATCTGGTTGTCTAGTTTTAGGGCGGTAATAATTTCATTTTGAAATAATTCAGAAATATAATATGCAAGATTAAATGTATAGTTGAAAATTAGGTTTTAAACATTTTCGCTTTATAATAAATTATGATATTACTAGAATTGTCAGTATTCTAAGTTGTCATTATTCTAAGTTGAGGTATACTATCTTGAAGATATTTTTGAAAAGCAAAAAGACGATCGCGGATCTTAAATTCTTAACCATGTGACCCTGGGTACAAGGTTATGAGGTAGCTTTTGGTATGACACCTTTATGTTTTATGAGAAAAAAAGTTTTCTTTTTGAGATCAGTCTCAAAGAAAACTTGAGCCAAGGTTAAATGTCAAAAGACAACTTGAAAATGAAAGAATAAAAAGTCTAATATGCAATGATTATAGAAGCAGAAAAATAGCTTGAAAAGCGTTATCTAGTCCAAATGGGCGCTTATAATGTTTTGAGGGCATTTAATTTGTTAAAATGTTAAAAAAAAATAAAAATTAAACATCTATAAACTATGTTTGTTAGGTGCATGTTTTGTGTAAATTCAAACATATAGATTATTGTTAAATGTGCTAAAAACCAATCATTTTGGACAAAATATCAAGCTTATGTATTATTTCAAATTTGCAACTTTTGTTGTAAACCCTAATCTAATCTGTTCAGCATAGAAAGACTATTATCTTATTATAAATATTCATTTACAACTTACATGATTGTATTTACAAAGATATACACGTGACTAATTGCACTATAATACTTGCAAAATGGTATTTTTCTAACGAATCAACTGTTATCATATAGTACAACTTTGTTAACAAATCATTTAGTATTATACAAGTTAGCAATTTTTCGTGACTATAGCCTTCAGACATTTAAAAAAATCTGAACTATAGAATTATACTAATGTATTACACTTCTAATAGTATAATTTTACATATGATTATTTTATTCAGAAAAATCAACTTTTGAATTCATTTTTAGATGCAAAGAAAAAGGCAACATTGAAAAGTTTCTAACTCCCAACGGCAAAAGTCAGTCCTCTGGCCCCAAACTTTCCAATTTTCCAGACACCTGTTGCTGTTGTTCATGTGAAAAAACGGAAAACAAATTCTCTTCTAGCCAATGAGAGGAGGACACGTGTGCATCGTCGTCAGTTTCCTCCTCCTCCTAGCTGCCGTTAGCGGGGAGTTCGCCGGCGATTACTCGAAGCTGTCGGGAATTATCATCCCGGGGTTTGCATCCACCCAACTAAGAGCATGGTCAATATTGGACTGCCCTTATTCTCCTCTGGATTTCAATCCTCTCGATTTAGTCTGGCTCGACACCACCAAAGTAAGTAATCAAAAGTTCTAGACATTGTGTCGCTTTAATTGGTTGTGTAGAGATAATGATATTGTTCACTGTTTATTTGTGCAAGCTTAGTATTTGAGTTTCACTTTGTAATTACTTTATAAGTACTCCGTACGATCGGAAGTTTCATGCATTAAGTAAAAGGATTTAAGTTTTATACTCTGTTAGTGTAAAAAATTTCATATGATCAGTGTGATTTAACCTGTTATAGAAGGTTACTTAATAATTACCATTTGTTTTAGGTTATCATCAATGCTTAGGTAATAACGTTACCTGCAATTACCTTTTCACGTGACCTGATAATTTTTACGCCATAGAACTTAAACTCAATCAAAATATTAAGCAATGCACATTTAGTTAAGAACAGAACACTATAGAAGCAAATAATCCTTAAAGGTAATACCAATCAAATTGGGATTGATATTTAGGGTGTGTTTGGTACGAAGGAAAATGTTTCTTGAAAAAAAGAGCGGGTTTCTTACTTATTTCTGGTGTTTGGTAAAAGCAGAAAATATTGTCCCTAAAGCATATATATACAATCTAGCCAAACATTTTGGGGGTGAGACAATAAGCATGAAATGCTGCTTATGGAACTTATTTTCCTACTCCCATGGAAGTCATTTTCCTGATTTTTAAGGAACTTGTCTTCCTAGAGAAAACGTCTTTCCAAAACATAACAGTTTGACCAACCAAATATGGGAAAATTGGAAAAGATTTTCTACCAATTGGAAAATAGCGAACCTTTTTTTTATTTTATAGTATTTGGAATAAATTTGACATGAATAATATGGAATGTATATAGGGGAATAGTCGACCCCAACTAATTTGCGACGATGTGCAGTTGATTGATTGAGTGGAGGAAAGTTTGATCTTGAACTGTGAGTTTTATCATACACTAATTACCAGCCTTTTCATATTGTAATAGTAAACTAATGATACCAGCTTATGAAGTAGTAATGGGGCAATCGGTATATAAGTGACGAGGACGTGGATGTTGATTCATGTTTCGTTCTGCTTCTTGTTTGAAATCTTTCCCTCGTTCAGATCAACATTCAAGGTGTTCAATTACTTTCGATTTTTCTGGTGCACTACATTGAAAGATATGATCTTGCTTTTGTAATGATTTTGGGGAAATGCTCTATGCGGCAAATTACTGATATCTAACCATTCATGAGATGTTGCTTCCACTGCAGTCATACAAAAGTACTATGTGCTGTCAGGATCTTGCTTTTGTGATACAAAAGCACTGATGCTATTAGTTTAACTTTACGTAGAATCACATGAAATTAAGTTGTCTCGAAAGATCTACCATTCCATGCAGACCTAGTGAAAAGTAGGGCACAATGCAAGAAAAAGATCTACGTTGGTTATACCATTAGTTGGTTGAGTTTAGTAATGTTATATTTACTTTAAGTCTGATGTTGCTTGGAGTCTTTTAGTCTTCTCAGAGATTTATGTGTCAGTAAAAAACATATAGAACTTATAGTGCTAGAGAAGCTTGTTTTCTTTTTGTGAAGATTTTATTGTTGTTGTTATTATCATCATCATCATCATCATTATTATTATTATTATTATTATTATTAGTTTTAGTTTTTATTATGGGGGCGGTGTTCAGGCCTGCTTAAACGCAACTCGATTATTCCACCGGGTACGTGCTTCTGTGCTTCTCTCACCAGCACAGGTACCGGTGACTCTGCCTGCCAAGGTTTAGGCAGACGAGAAGAAATCACCTTGTGCTTTGCCTTCGCTGGGTTATTATTTTATGTAATATTGGACCAAAATGAGCCTAAATGGAGCAGCATAACAGTAATGATTCAAATAGCTTGATCCCTACTTGCTTTGGCTTGAGACATAGTTGTTGTTTATAAGTTAACAATTTATCTTTCTTACAGCTTCTTTCTGCTGTGAATTGCTGGCTGAAGTGTATGATGTTGGATCCTTACAATCAAACAGATCATCGGGAATGCAAGTCTCGACCTGACAGTGGCCTTTCTGCTATCACAGAGCTTGATCCGGGATACATTACAGGTGATTGATTTGTTCTCCATGCAATTCCTTTGCACTTCTAGTAAAGTGGAATAAGAATTCAAGATGTTAAGCCCCCATTAGCCAGGACATGAAACTGAACTGATTTTCACTGGTAACATCTTAAGTTGCCTGTTTTTAATCCACATGTAGCTAGGTGCACAGCTGGCTGGGCGCTTTGCCTCAGTTAGGCAGCGGTTCATTGTAGTTAATAATTAGCAAGCGCTAAAGCGTGTGATTCAGCAAAAACTTCCCTTTTCAAAAATTTTGAGAACTTAGGTGAGCCGTGGTTCTGTCTCAATAAGAGTGACACTAAACAGTAAAATATTTAGCAAAGCAACTTAAGAAAACATAACCCGAGATATAGTGATAGAAACTATTAGAAATACAGTAGTTAATAGATTTGATTAGGAGCTTAAAAGTTGCATCTTTGTATCTAATGAAACAAATTTATTGGTTCGAGAACATAGACTAACATTCTTTTTTACTTTGCTGATCAAAAAGGAAAAAGATTAGCATTGTTTTTACTTCATTTGTTTTGCTTAATTGCAGTTGTTTCATTTCCTTTATCGATATAATTGCTGTTTTGATTGTAGTTAGTTTTTGCTGTGTTTTATGTGAGTGTGTACATACTTTTTTCTTCATTTGTGCCTTCACTAATGCGCCCTTTAACTGTGCTTTAGCTTAGCATCCAATTAGACCTTGGCATTGCACGTTTTTTGCCTTTGAGAACAGTGGTCTAGATAGGAGTCTGTGTGGTTTGGTTTGAGCCGATTTTTACCTATGAAAAAACCAAACCAACTAGGTCTATTCAGGTTCCGGTTCTTAGTGGTTCTGTGGTTTTTTTTTCTATCCAAAATTTGGCTTTTTTATCAGTAACAAAAATATAATTTTGCCTTTTTATACTCTGCATATTTTGATTGAACATGGTTGTTGCACAAGTGGGACTTAACTGGGATTGTAAAAGAATTAGACCAAAAAAGGCCAAGGCCAAGGCCACAGACCCAAAGGAGGAAACGAAGAAAATCTATTGAAAAATTATATATAATTCTAAATATCTGTGAAACAAATACGCTTATTTTTACAAACTTACAAAGTGATATATACATTGTTGGTTTGGTCCGGTTTAGCTTTTTTTTTTCTTCGTTTAATACTAAATCAAACCCAATATAATCATTCTTTTTCTAAGTGAATACCAAATTTAGAAACAAATCAGTTTATCAACTCAGCTTGAGTCGTTTCTCGGTTTGGTACAACTTAATAAGTTAGAACAGTGTTTTGTCAAGTTTGTAGGCGGAAGATGCTTTTACACACTAATGGAAACTCTTTATGTATTTGTTTTACCTAGCCCTTCACATTATCTGATGGGGTTTTGCCTGCAACAGCCTTTCGTCGAAGCTTTAAAATATGAGTTGTTCTTTTTTAAGTGTCCAGATAAGTTCAGGATTCTTGAAGTTGATCTGGCTTAAATGTTTGTTATGTGCAGTTATGACCACTTTGTTCGCCATAAGAAGATTTGGCTCCTTCTTTGTTCTTATCCTTTTCCTTCTTCTTCTTCTATATTTTCTGAGCACATTTTTTAACTTTGTTCTACTTGGTTGAACTAATGAGACACGGAACTGAATGGGCAAAAACTTCTAAAATTATGACTTCAAAACCATTTTCCTTAGTGTGAGACTGATGAACTTCTGCCTGCTGCCCTTTTCTTGGATTGTCAAGACCAATCAGTAGGGATTCTATGGTTATATTATTTTAAAGGACTAGTTAAATATGAATATGAAATTACAAAAAAGGACGATAACAGAGAGTCGTCAGTGAAGGACCAATTGCCATAGATATCTTTGTTACTCTAAGGGCTTTAAGTGATGATTCTGCTTCTTGTTTTGGTTCTCTAATTGATCCAAACCCCATTCCTCTTCAGGTCCTCTGTCATCAGTGTGGAAAGAATGGGTTAAGTGGTGCATTGAATTTGGTATCGAGGCTAATGCAATCATCGCAGTTCCATATGACTGGAGATTGTCTCCATCAAAGCTTGAGGAGCGAGATCTTTACTTTCACAAACTAAAGTTTGTATTTTCATGATACCATTTGTGCCTTGAATTCAGATATATGTGTTTATTATGTCACTAAATGATTCTTTCCTAAGTTCAAATGACAAGTTGATTGGTAGAGAAGTGTAAACCTTTCCAATTCCTTTTTCCCAGTAGAAAGTAGAATTATCCATTTCTTTCATCTATTCTGTTTCAAAATTTGTAGCAGTGAGCAAGATATTTACTTTATACAATGGTTGAAGATCTGGGTTGAACCCAATACAATGCTTTCTTGCTTCCTCTTTGGCCTGGGAAGATTATCCTGTATCAAATATGTAAGAATTTATGACAATGGAAAACTTAGTGACTTTACAGTTTTTCTTTTTGCCTTTTTTTCAAAATGCCCAATCCTCCAATATGTATGAGTGGAGGGTTTGTTTCAGTTTTTTATACTAGAGATCTTTCTTAGGTATCGTTGTGTGAAGTAAAAAGATTTTTTTTGTGCACAAAATGGTGCCGATGTGATTGTTTGCGCAAAATATGAGTTCAAATTTACACAGAGAACTCATCTTTCCCACCAGGCGTGGTGGGATGGTGTGTTCAGGAAATAACTTTGATAATTCCAAATACATTGTGTCATAAGTATCTCTGTTACCTTTTAACAACTTGTTTTTGCATCTCCCACTTCCCCTCCCCCTCCCCATACTTCACATACATCTTTTAAACCTTCTACTTTGCTGATTTTACTGTTCTGTTCTTTTGAGTGTTCGAGCATTTCTTTTCGTAATTGTTCTGGTACATGTCTTTTATATGGTGGGTTTTGATCTCTTTTTTCTTTCTGGCAGGCTAACTTTTGAAACTGCTCTTAAACTTCGTGGTGGGCCTTCAATAGTTTTCGCTCATTCATTAGGTAACAATGTCTTTAGATACTTCTTGGAGTGGTTGAAATTAGAGATTGCTCCGAAAGAGTATATGCGATGGCTAGACGATCACATTCATGCCTATTTTGCTGTTGGTATGCCTTACTAACCTAAATACTATTTGACCTCCAGTCTTATCTCAGAAATTAGGGAAAGCTACTTATCTGGAATTGCTCTTTCTTGTGGTTTCAGGAGCTCCTCTTCTTGGTGCTATTGAGACAGTCAAAGCAACATTATCGGGGGCTACATTTGGTCTTCCTGTTTCTGAGGTTTTATTTTTTTAATCCAACTTAAGTTCTAATGCGGTAGGCTACCTTTATGTATGTTTAGGACCTTTAGGTTGTGCAGTTCAGACATAGAAATTCTAGGTTGCGCAAGGCACGCTCCTTGGATAGCTTTAGAGATTACTTTTTTATTCATCAAAGAAATGTGAATTTGAGATTTTTTTTGTTCTAAAGTTCTTGTATTTGTTTCAAATATTAGGAAACTTAATAAAAGGTGTAAATCTGGACATTCTTATGAATTCGTAAAACATTAGATATTATATCTGCATTGATGTGGCATCTGTGTTTTCCAAGTTATCAGGGGACAGCTCGCCTGATGTTCAATACTTTTGGATCTTCTATGTGGATGTTGCCATTTTCAAAATATTGTACAACAGATAATGTGTACCGGAGGCATTTCTCTGGCGGAAACCGGGAAAACCATCACGCCTACCATTGCGATGAGCATGAGCTTCAATCAAACTATTCTGGCTGGCCAACAAACATAATCAATATTGAAGTTCCTTCAATTCGAGGTATTACCAAAAGGCCAACGAGCATGTTGTGTCTTTAGCATAACTTGTGCTAATGGGCTTTTAATATGTCTTAGCAGGGGATGAGGCTTATCCATCATTTGTAGAAATTGCCCAAGCTAACTTGTCGGGAATGGAATGTGGATTTCCGACGCAATTGTCCTTTTCTGCTCGTGAAGTCTCTGATGGGACCTTTTTCAAAGCCATAAAGGATTATGATCCTGATAGCGAAAGGCTCTTGCACCTTTTACAAAAGTGAGTATGACAACAAATCTTTTTACGTCCATGCAACATTTTCAGATAATGCAATAAGAAGATAGTGTCCTTGATGTGTTCAATGTAACATATCCAGTAAACTCAAGATATAATTTAGCTTGTTGAAGGAAATGAATTTTCTGTACCTTCCGTGAAAATGTTGAACTTATTTTATTTCCTTTTGTCTTTCCAGAGGTCGGAACATATGAAAAAATATATTTTCTCCCTTGACTTCTCCATGGATCGAGGTGTTGCAACGCTCACAGAAACTAGCATGTTTTGCTTGTGTTACTTTCATTGTCCCAAAAAGAATGATATGATTCTATTAACAAGGCAACTTGGACATTGTCCTCTCAAAGATTGACATGATTCAACTAACAAAGGGAAATCAAGCATATACCTTGGCTGATTTCAGAGATGTAATCTCTATTTTAAAACTAGAGTTATTTTATTTAAAAACTAACTAAATGTAGCAATGTCCACATATCAAATTAAAGCTGTAATAATACTCCCTTCATCTTGTTTTGTTTGACGTACTTCCGACTTACTGTCTTAAAAGGGCTTCATTTTGAGAAGCGGTTAGGTTCAAAACATTGAAGTCAAACTAACCTTTAATAATACTATTTCCAATGTTATACTCTATATTTTAAATTTGATCTCATATGTTTAAAATCTTTTCACATGTGAATATCTTAATACATTGTAATATATGGAAGGTCCCATTACACTGAACTTCCTCTCCTTTTGCCACTATTCAGAGGACATCCCCTCTAGCTTGGCAAAATTACACTAGCCTTTCCTGATAGACTTATGAACTAACAATGATAAGTTATAAAAAGGTGGTTCTGTTAGTTTAATTTGTTGCCATTAGAATCCTGTACTTTTAGATAGAGTATGGCAAAAGGGCAGCCGATGCACGAAGCATCCTGCGTTCACGCAAGATATAATAGATCAAATAAAGACACCTAATTTATAATGAATTGCATAACTACAGTTTTAACCTAAACACTCTTGATGGTGATAGAGTATCTACTTTGCCACATTGAATTATTGGAACAATATTAAAATTTAAAAGTTTTTATTTGATGCTTTAATTTATTATTTAGTTCTTACTCCTTAGTCCACAACTGTCATTAATCACTTATGCAGGTTGCTGTGCTTCCAATTCGGCAAGAAATTATATTGAAAAAATTGAAAATAATTCAAGATGCTAGATGAATTAAAATGAGCAAAACTTGATTAACTAAAACTTTAAAATGCAAAATTTGGAGAGCAGTTCAATTTCCAAAAAATAAAAATAAAAAAAAATCTTAGAGCTAGCCAGAGTCTTGTGCATATGGACTCAGTAACTACGTAAAATTTGGTGAAAAATTAAGCTGTGTTTATGTAAAAGAATGTTTTATGGTGGAAGTAATTTATGCTAGCTTAATACTTATCTTTTTTTTTTTTTCCCCCTTTCGTTTCTCCATGAGTTATCAGCTATTGGCTTATTTGTTCTTTAGTTCTATGCTAATTAGCTCTAGCTATATTATGTTCTGACATCTAAAATTCAGGTCTTACCATGATGATCCGATTTTAAATCCTCTAACACCTTGGGAAAGACCACCTCTCAAGAACATATTCTGCATTTATGGCATAGATTCGAAGACTGAGGTATTCTTCTCTTCTCAAGGGTCAATTTCTTGCTCTAGCCAGTTTAGAAATTCATTATGATTGTTGTGCATATGTGTTTTAACGTAGATGATTTGGCTGTAGGCACATGCTGTTATTGAACTCAGTATTACTTGTTTTACACTTATTATTCAGCATACACACTAAGTCAACTTTCTTGTGCTCGTTTATCAGCGAGTTCATCATGTTCTTGTATTAATTTCTTAACTTCTTCAAAACCTAAAAGTGAAAACTAGTGCTCTAGGTGACTGTTCATCTGAAGCGGACAGGACAGCTAGAACGCCTCGAATTAGTCTTCAAATTATTAAATTACTTGGAGATGGGATGGTACTAACCATTGATGAAACTTAGCGACCAGCATGAAGATTGTAATTTATATCTGCTGTTGATCAACCTAGGCCTGTCTATTATAATTCTTTGTCCGTATTGCTTTCACATGACAGTTTCGTGATGAAAGTATCTGTTCTAATCCCTAGTTCTTTCTAAACATTCAGTTGAAAGTTCCAACTTGAAATTTTTTATGAGGCCTCTTTTGATATGTGGTTTAAGAAATCAGAAACGGAAAGTCTATGTGTTTATTTACAACCATTTCATGTTAGCTATGATTGAGCAACATTTGCTGTAATGCTTGATTTCTTAAAAGTTTTGGTTGTCGTTTTCTTATTCTAAAAGAAAAACTTGTTTACCATATCCATCAGTTGCTTGCGGCAGAAAAGTAAAAAAAAAGCAAGAAAAAGATGATGATTGAAGAAATAGTAAGAAAAGGAAAAAATAAACAAGCTGGTTATAGTGTTCTCCCTAGTTGGCTGTATTTCTCAATGCACCAACCTCTGTCTACCACTAGTACCCCCACCCTGTAAAAATGATTTAATGACATTAGTCTTCTATCCACATTACATTACATGCCTCTATGTGATTGTATTCCCCGCTTCTAGTTATGTTCTTCCTTCAGTATGTGATCCTGAATATTTTTCCGCTTTCTTCATGTTGAATAACAGGTTGGTTACTATTTTGCACCCAGTGGGAAGCCTTATCCTGATAATTGGATTATAACAGATGTGATATATGAAATTGAAGGATCTCTGTATTCACGGTAACTTGTTTTCTGCATCTTGATAGCATATTTTGAAAAGGTCTCTCCGAACAGCACATCTGAACATGTTATTTTTCACTTATTATTGTTGCTCTTACTTCATCTTCTTTTCCTCATCCATGCCACCCGGGTCCTTCACAGCTTCATTGAGACAGAACGTTGTAAGGGTTGGCAATAAATCGAAATAAGATTAAGTTATATGATTTGTTTTGTGAAAGTATGTAATTTTGAATCTTTGCATGCAGGACATTATCCTTCTTTTAAAATCCCTAACCTCCAATTTTTAATCCTTAGTATTAATTTGCATAGCAGACAACATGGAGTATAAGACTGACTATGTGCATGATACTAAATCAACCATTCTTCCTATAGAATATGAAATTATTCTCTGCTTTTATATANCTTATGCTTCTTAAACCTCATTGAAGTTGGATACTGACTTTTGAAAATTTGGATCCTTCTCAGTATCTCAAATTTTCTCCTTTTAGGTCAGGAAATCTGGTTGAAGGAAACCCAGGTGCAACAAGTGGGGATGAGACGGTATGATGAAGGATAAGATCATGCATGTTTAAGTATATAATTTGTTTTTGTGATTTATTGAAATGACCTCCCTTCTGAAATTTAAAATGACATTAGAGAGCTCTCTTTCAAAAAGAATTTTCACATGCTTGACTCATCAAAAAGAATCAAGTCCGCATGTGAGGGGCGTGTTAAAGACATACTTAAGTAAATAAAAGTGTGCTCTCTCAAACAACTTAAGCTTTTTGATGAGTTGGTCAAACAATTCAACAGTGGGCAACAATTATTTTTACAATCGGACATTTATGGCCTACTAACTAATGCTTTTAAATTCTCATCACCTTTAGTACCCAACTTAACTACTTATAAAAAGTACTAATTCATAGGAAATTCAACGGAATTCAAATTTTAGTAATATAACTATATAAGTAATTGTGTGTTGGTGGGAGGTAGCATATGCCAGGCGCGCGAGCTGGTCCAGATACACCATTGTTGGAAAAAACAAGTAGCTAATATTATTAAAGTCAATGACTGCACGTTGAAATGTTATTTCATTGGTGCTTACCGCTACTGAATAAATTTACTTAAAATGTTGGATTGGTCATGAAATAGGATCTTTAAAATGAACTTTAGGTAACTGTAATCTTAAGATCTGAAATAAAGTCATATTATGTCTTGAAAAGGAGTAAGGTTTATATTAGAATAAGTTATCTGCTAAAATCTGACAGTGGAAGTAGTGTTATTTTAAAATTAGATTGGTCCATTTGATTATGATGACTTTCGTATCTATGACTATGTTACAAGAAAGGGATTCTTTTTTATTAAGTGAAGCAGATTCGCAGGTGCCATACCATTCACTCTCCTGGTGCAAGAATTGGCTGGGGCCAAAAGTGAACATAACAAGGACACCACAGGTATTCATAAGCACTGTCATAGATATAGATGTCTAAGGTACCATTGTTCCCCTCAGATCAGTTCTCTTTTATGATTTGAAGGTGTAAATTGATATTCTTTTGAAATTCATAAAGATCATCTGTCCTCCTTTTTGGTATGCGATATTTTGTTTGATCTTATTCTCAGTCAAGTAGGAAAACCACAACCATTATTACCACCTTTACTACTAATTATATTAAGCATATGAAAATAGCTCCAACACAATCTCAACACCCCACACAGACACATTAGAAGAGCTGTCTAAAAGACTATGATAGATCTGATTATTGTTAGTAATTTCTCAGATACTCGAAAGTTTGATCCAACACATTTTAAAGATCCCCACCTTTTCCTACAAATTGATCCCCTAGCTTTTGTCGTGTCAGCATCGGCCCTGTAAGCCCTACCTTTGAGTGCGGTTTGAATTACACCCAATTTTTCTGATTCGGCGGTTTGTCTGCCTCAGGTTGAGTAGTCAGAGAAGGGCAATGCGGCAACTATCCTGATTGAATTATTTGGCCCTCGATCCGAATGAATCAACCTTTCCACGGAGGTAAATCTTTGCCTGCTGCTAGGCAAAGATGTATACCTCCGTGGAAAGGATGATTCATTCGGATCGAAGGTCCACATAACCAAGCTATGCATATTTATTTCAGTAGATCCCTTTCACCTGATTGGCTTCTTCTGGAAAACATAATATATTCATGAAATTGTAGTCATATGACCTCATACTTTTCCAGTTTTCTGCTAAAACTCTAATACTTGCTTGTGAATGATTTTAGCTTTTATATTGGTACTCAGTGGCAACTGCAGCTCTATCTTACTCTCTGTCTTTGACAACATCAGTCAGAGCATGATGGCTCAGATGTACAAGTGCATCGAAATATAGAGCATCAACATGGCGAAGATATCATCCCCAATATGACAAGGTTACCTACGGTGAAGTACATAACCTATTATGAGGATTCTGAAAGTTTTCCAGGAAAGAGAACAGCAGTTTGGGAGCTCGATAAAGGTATCTGAAGTATCTCAATTTCTTGTTTAAAGTTTTCTAAAGGAATTTCTTGGTTATTTAAGTAGAATGCTGTGTCTGCCCCCTCTCTCACTTCTTTCTGTTGGCTAGATATATCTTCTTTCCTCCGGTTCACCATCCGCTTTCCTGAGTCTAGCTTTTATAGTTCCACAAATTTGTCCCAAGTCAAATGACAAATACAGCCTTCATTTCTAAGTTTCTGCCCAGTTTTCGCGTCTCTAGCCAGCTCTTACGTTTCTGGCTAGTTTTCTGTCCATTCAGCCACTTTCAAATATGGCTGGAATTGTCTCCTTTTCTTCAAATTGGCTTCTTTTGACTTGTTTTCTCTCCAAAACCCCTTCTCCAATGTATAAACCTGAAATATACAATAAAACCACAATGAATGCACTAATTTTCTCCATTAACAAAATAAAAATTCAAGTAAAAAGCATATATAAGTTGGTAAATACCAACTTATCATTGAACAGACAGGTATTTGAGGGGGATAGAGAACGACCATGTATATATGAGGAGCCTCTTATTCTCCTTTTTGGTGCACCAATGAAATTCCAGTTTGTACAGAAGATTAGATGTCGTTCATAAATAATCATAATACGTTGTAGATTCTTTACTTTTTTGTGTACTTCTTGTATATGGGATATTTTTCCGTTTTTAATATCACAAAAAAAGGGAAAGAAAGAAGAACACACAGGTGTTTGAATATCTTTTCTATGTTCCAATGCATGCCCCAGCGTCATTGTAATAGTTAAGCTTTGCAGAAGATCACCCTAAATTTTCTTCTTGTATAATTATTCATTGGAATTTCCAGCTTACCTTAGTAGCATGTTTTGAGGGCTTGTCCAATTCCATAGACTAAAATTACTTTTCTTGGTTCCTTCATCGGTTTACGGCAGTCGTAAGCATTTGACAGGGGACAGATTTAAGACATGGTACATCGTTTTATACCTCAAATCAATCTTGCATATATAATGTTCAGCTTCCATATGATGCAAGATTAAAGATCTTGTCCAACTGCATTGAATAAATTCGGTAATGTTGGATTGTTCTAGATGTAAGATATTGAATCAAAATTAGACATTTTGCACCTCATGCAAATTGTCGATCTGATGAGTGTAAATTTTCTTGGGTAGCAAATCACAGGAACATTGTCAGATCTCCAGTTTTGATGCGGGAGCTGTGGCTTGAGATGTGGCATGATATTCATCCTGATAAAAAGTCTAACTTTGTTACTAAAGGTGGGTCTGTTTCCTCATTAACTTATACTATGAATGTTGAGTTTTTATTGACATTGTAAAGCATTGCAACAAAAAGCAAAGCGTGGGCCTCTGAGGGATGAGGACTGCTATTGGGATTATGGGAAAGCCCGATGCGCATGGCCTGAACATTGTGAATACAGGTAACAGTGTTTCAATTAAATTTTGCAAAATAATATTCTCCTTCTGTATTTAGGCCACCTTTCTCCGGTTACGATGATGCAGATATTTATTCGGGGATGTTCACCTGGGGCAGAGTTGCAGATTGAAGAATTCTACATATGATCTCCTGTCGCACTATGTATGATTTTTAAGGTATGCTTCGTTCTTTTTTGCTAAAAGGGATAAGGAATATTCAACAGCTACATTATCCTAGGGAAGCCTAAAATGACAACCAAAATATCTGACAATAGGACCGAGACTTGCTAAAATGTACTTTGTGCTTCAAAGCAAGGGATGTTGATTTGTCCCCCATTTACATCGTGACTTAGGAAGTACTTTTACATACCTCACTGCTTGAGGAATAACCAGCTTATTTCTTGAAGGGTGCAGAATAATGATGGTCTTATTATTTTTCTGATGTATGATTTTGTGATGTTCTTGGTGCTTTGAATTCTTTAGTTGTGGGAGGCAAAAGCTGGGCAACTATTAAGTGATAGTTCTGTGCTTTCATTGAGTAATCATATCTGATGGTCCTGACTATCTTTCTGAGAGAAGAAAAAAGTTCGAATTAGCAGCCGTAGAATTGGTTTTTCCTCCAGAATAGGAGCTTCCCAATTTCAAGAACCTAATAACAAGGGGGACTATTAATGATGTTGAGCTGAAACTAGAGGACTCTCCAGAAATAATACCAAGTCTGCAAAAAGGAGTCTATTTTCACTATTGATAAATGAGTTGGAAGACCAACTTCCCTCGTACTATGCTAATTCATCACTTTTCTACAGCACCTGTAACATTCTTTTTGCCAGAAGAATTTTGTTTTTAAGGGATAAGTTTTCATGTGGTTTGCAGAAAGCAGATGTACATTCCACAAATATTAGAAGAACAAGGGCTAATGATTCAGAGAGCAAAGACTGGATGTTCGTCTGGACTGCGTTGCATCCAACTTTGTCTGTGTATCATAAACTAGAGTTTGATCACCTGTACATCCAAATGGAAGAAATTTTGTAGAGTATCAAATGTAGCACCAGAACATGTTCCACATTAGAGTGTAATTACAACGGAGAGTCAAGATAGCTCTATTCATTTTAAGGAAGACTATGATGATCATTTATATGCATTGGTGTTTTGACGCCAAAGTTGATCACACGTCTGAAAATGTAATCCATATATTGAGATTCCACTGGTTATTTAGTTTTGACTATATTTAGATAATGGAATTACACAATCCAAGACTTTGCATGGATGAATTATTCGTGTTCAAGCACGAGAAGTGAATGTCTTTTTCGCCATTCTTTCCTCTGTAATCTGTCATCAACAACAGAAAATCGGCAAATGCAGAATAAAACCAAGTGCCGCTGCTGGGGCTATAAAGGACAGTTTTGTTGAATACACTAAAGCATTTCTATTCACCTTTTCTGTTTGATATGATAACTTGAAAAGAATCAACTATTTGAATAAAACTATGGTCATGCATGAGAATTTCTGCTTTGCAAAGGTTGCATCTTTGATCTTAGTAATCTGAATTCCAAAAGTAGGTTTTTCTACTCCTTCAAAGTTCATCTTGATGTGATTTGAAGTTCTTACACGATTACTATAGATGTGTTTCAATTTTTCTCTTCTAATTAAGCAGTGAAATATAATATCGTGATGTTCATTTTGAATTTCTTTTTTAGGAAGGTAACACTGCATTAAACATCAGCACAAAGGCTGTGATGGTAGGGTAGCCATATTTACAGATTCCAGAAAAAGCAAAAGTATTTTCTTCCTCATCTTACAAGGATTCTATGATGTCTAGTAAAGAGTCAACCTCATCTATATAGTTTTCTTTACACCAAAAATGAAATAACAATGAGCAATTCATCGTCTAGAAACAGAAAAGATTAATCCAAGAAAGCAAGAAGCCAGAAAATCAATTTCATTTAGAGGTAAATCAAACTGGATCCCCATAAAACATCTCAGTTGTTTAGTCTTTAGTCGTAGCGCTATTATCTTTGCGTTTAGTTAAGTGTTTTCTCTTTGACCAGGACTAAGTGCTCAGTATTTTTGTAAAGATAAAGGGCCATTTGTGTCCATCATTATATAATAATAGGGACAAAAATGTACCTGCCCTATAGTTAAGGGACTACTTAGGTTTTTCCCTCCCATTATTCCACATAGGAGTCGCTCTCTCCGTGTCAGACTTCCTCCAAACTTACCCCTTATTGGCTGCATTTAAAAAGTCAATTCCAATGATCGATCAACCATCAATTCTTTTTTTAATGATCGAGAAATTCCTTAGGGCTAAGTAGCGTGTTATCAAGTGAACTTAATATTTTCGATAATAAGTTGTAAAAACTCTAATATCAAATCATCAAATTTAAAACCTTAATTCGTATCTAGAGCTAACTTTAAATCCTTAATAATGGGTTCACCCCTCCAACTCTCGCCACTTAAATACAATAGTGCATGGCTCAAGAATCAAGCTATTTTGGATAAAAGTTAATTTGGTGTACAAAGTATTTCATATTCACGCAAGGTCCGAAAAAGAAGTGCACCGCCTACCCTAATAATACATCACTACATCACTGATTAGTCACCTGCATATAAGTGACGAGACAACTTTATCGTGACCCAATATATAAATATAATACCTAAGATAATTGTGAGAAAAAGCTATGACCTTGAGTCTACTTTCACATGCTCACTGACCAGAGTTCGCCGATCATCATCGTCAGGAAAGAAAGGTCTCCTATTAACAGCCAAGGTCAGCCATGAACTATAAAATTAAAAGTAATTTATTTTAATTTTACTTTCTTTTGTGTCTGAGATTGTGATCATCATATCATGCCTTATTTTAATTGCTTTCTTGTGCGATCATTGAACAATATACTGAAGGAACCATGCGCTGTTATTTCCTACTTTGGTCTTTGAATGATCTTACACTTCTGGTGTTTTTTTTTAACTTCCTTGCTAATATTTACTTGAATTGGGTTATCAGAGCTCCTGTTAATTAGCTATTTGTCTAACAGGTCCAACAGATGGATCAACAATATGTGTAAATTTGTAGTAAATTAGAACTAGTATATATACACTTTAGCAGTGTCAGAGCGCAGCGGTGGAGCCACGATTTTCACTAGGGGTATCAAAAATATATTTAAAAAAAAGGTAAAGGGAATTCAACTTTATATAGTATTAATGCATGAAAGAAACTTTTTGTCTAGGGGTAAGGCGTGTACTTACTAACCTCCCTAGATCCCACTTGTGGGAAGTCACTGTGTTGTTGTTGTTGCTGTTATTGTATACTAGTGTAATTTTCTGGTGTTGGTTAAAGATGGCTCTGCCACTACACTTTAGGGTGTTACTAATAGTGCATTGACTATAGCATGTTTGATATAAGTGATACTATTGGTTTATTACAAGATTAAGACCAGTGTAAGGTGCTTCTGTTGTAGTTTAACTTGACTACTCTGAAGTTTTAACTAGCTAGAATAAATCGGTAAAAGGCGTTCAAAGCGAAAGTCATATATTTGCTTGACAGACTTAAAAGTTTTATACACAGAAAGAGTATTTTTTTTTTACAGTATAGGTCTTTTAAAAGCCAACTACGTGTAAATTGTCTATAATAAGCATGATCAGTGGCATGTAAAAGATGGTAACCTGTTTAAACTGGAACTACATTTATAATGTAGAAATTAATTATTGTTGGTATATATAACTTAAATTCTTCTTTGACCGAGCTTTTGAACATTTAATACCATTATTTTCACTGTCATTCCCATGTATTTATCCGTGTTTCCATGTTTCTGGGCATGATACTAGGCTTATCTCTTCTGTTTACCTTAAGGTGTTTCATCTGAAAGGTGATTAGTAAACTCAAATGACGGGGAAAATTGTAGGTAAACAATTGGACTGGCATGACTGGGAAATGCTTTCTAGAATTTTTACTGTGAGATTGGGGCTTGATACTCTAACAATGATTGATTTTGTTAAAAATGGATTAGAATGTTAACTTTTAGGACTGTTTGCTTCCTAGACAGGGGTTCTAATCCCATTTTAACTTTCCAAATCTGTTTCTTACTTTCAAAACATAAAGAAGAAAAAGAAAAGTTAAATTTTGGACCTGCATATTAATGTTTGAGATAATTTATAAATTCCTTCTAGCAGAACAAAAGAAAGAAATCTCATGCTTCGAAGATTACATTAAACAATGCAGAGATTGTTTATAAGTTAAACATGTACTGATAAATAGTATCCATTTTGTTGGCTTTGGAAGGCAAGAAATGAGTTTACTTTTGCGGGAAGAGTACTTAACTTTTACCACTTAAATTCACTTTATCGTAAATTTTCTTCAATTTCTTTGTATATTATTAGATATTCATGCTTATAGATATTAGTCTTGGACTACACATACATATTTGTAGTTTTTCTCTATTTGCGCCTTTCTTCATTAAAGCCCACGCTTTATTTACGCTTTGCGCTTAAAGCCCCAACTGACCTTAGAGCTTTTTTGTGCTTTTCGCCTTTGCTAACACTGCTACACTCCTTTAGTACTTTAGAAGGTGACAATTCTTTCTTCTGTTCTTCCTGTCATTTGGTACAGATTTCGGAGAGGATTCATTTAGGGGACTGTTTTTCTTTCTTTTGTTGCTCAATCGTGTCTCATTCAGTAACTTTTGTAATTTTCCATTGAAAACCTCTGATGTGTTGATTGGTTTTCACTAACTAAATTCAACTGTCTGACTTTGCTCATTTCAAGGTCCGATGTTAAGATACTCACCACAGCATGAGCTGGGGTATCAAGCTATGAACTTATCATCATAGGTAACTAAGTTGAACTTTTTTAGTGCCATGGGTTCTGGTTACATTCGCTTGTCCTATCTGCTCATTTGTGTTTTGTTTGTAAAGTAAGAAGCGAAGAAAAATGAAGGGACAAGTAGAATTCTTTTCACTAAATAGTTGGTATTCCTGACTTATCCCTGCTAATTTATTGAGTAATTTTCACATCTTCTCAGTTAGCAAATGGCTGTGAAGCCATTCTTCCGCGTAAAGACGCTAATGGTCCTTGTAGTTTATTCTTCAACAATTTTCCTTTGCAGTTTTTCCTTGTAAAAACCTCGTGACAAGGGCATCTTTTTGTCATTGTGGAGACAAAAGCCAAGGTTAGGTAAGGTGGGAATAGACAAGCATTAAGTTCCATATGGAAAGAACAAACAACTGATGGAGTTTTCTATGTAAAACTATGAGTTAAGCAGATTGCTGAAACTTTGTGCTGGAAATTCTTGTAATTTTCGTAATCCTCTGGCCCACCCTCCCAAACATCGAACGAATAACCAAATACTGGCATGAAGCTGTTTTCCTTTTAAAAATGTTTTGTCATTTGGCTGCAGAATTATTTTAGAGCTTTGTGATTGCAGAGGATTTACGTCATGAGGGACAGGTGGCCAAGAGGTAAAAAGTGGCTTAAATTGTCATCTGTAGAAACAATCGCGCTTGAACAGCTGAGACGAAGCTCAACATCAAGGGAAACAAAACAAGAAATGAAAAATAATTTAGAGACCAAGGGAACTTGGCTTCCTTATGACTTACTTTTTAAGGTTTTTCTTCTACTTCCAGCTGAAACTCTTTGCAGACTGCGTTGCGTATGCAGGACACTTCTCAACATGATCAACAGTCCGGCTTTTGTTGAAGCTCACTTTCGTCAATCTGAGACAGTTCTAATTACTCAAAAGTCCTTTCGCGAGGAAAACATACGGTCACCTTTTCCACTACCTTCAGATAAGCCAAATCAATGTTACTTCCATTTCTGGGACATCCACAGCGGCGAAGGCCACAAAGTTTGTATGCCAAATTTGAGGAACTTAGAGTGCGTTTTGGCTGCCTGCAACGGTTTGGTCCTGGCTAGAATTAAGAAAAACGGAGGTCTAGTAGTTGTAAATCCAAGTACAAGGAACCACATTAGAATGCCTCTTGGTACAATTGGTTTCGCGCAGGAGTGTTACGGGTTCATGTTCAGCCACTTCACAGGTGCTTATAAAGTAGTACACTTGTTCCGCGACGAACATAGACACATCCGCTGTGAGATCCTGAACCTCACTACAAGATCATGGCATGCAGTGGATGGACCTAATTCAGGAGAATTCGGATCAATCAGTACTACTCGTAGATCTGTTTCAGCAGTTGGTGCTTTGTATTGGCTTCCAAAGAGGGACAGTTGTAACCATGTTGTGTCTTTGGGATTTCATGATGAGAAGTTCCAAACTGTACCTTTACCAATCAACAGCACAAAAAACGATCGGCTTGTTGAGATTAAAGGCACCCTGAGCTTCATAACTCATGCGACGTTGAATTTGATTCAGGTATGGATCTTGAACAAGGAGGGCTTAAGGGAAAATTGGATAAAGAGATATAGCATCAATAGGTTCTATGATATCACAGGATTTGTTCCACTTTGTGCTTGGACGACAGAAATATTTTTCAAGAGAAGAGGAAACCCTTTGTTACATATTTACAATATTGAAGCTGAAGAAATGCAGGAGGTTAATGTTGGAGATGTGCAAATTTACATGCCTCATGTAAAGTCCCTTGTTTCATGGGATAGTCCTCAAGGTCAGTGGGATGTATAACTATTTAACCAGCACACCCTTAGTGCTGCTCCGAAACCTACTCGTTTTTGCTTCCTAAAATCACTTTGTAAATACTCTAGTTGGAACACATTTCTGTGTTTTTCTTTTACCTGTGTGCTATTGAGTTTTATTATGGGACTATAAATCACTTTTAACGTCGTATGTCCACTTGTGTGTTCTTTCTTTTACATCAACCGTCCTCAACAATAATTCTCCATATCCGGAATTTACAAAATGCCCTCGGAATCAATCAGAATTCAAATGCGGAAGCCTGAAAACCCACAAGTTCATGTAAAAGACTTCCTTCTCCATTAAAATTTAAAAAGCTGATGAGAGTTCTCTACGCTCACAATTAGCTATGATCAAATTGTTAGCCACTCACTTATCTGTCTGTTGTACTTGTGATGATGGCCGGTTCCCTGCTCTACTACTGCTTAATTCATTTCTTTTTTCCACCGGTTTTGCGTGAAGGTCGACTAATTCAGTCATCGCTAAAATAGATCAATTTCTAGCATAAAGCATCAAATTTTATTCATTCTTTCTATCATGAGAAAGATCACAACTTGCATTTATCAAATATCAAGAAACAGGTCAGTCCTTTTTTTGGTTTAACAGATTTGCTAAGCTATTGATATTGTAGTAAACAAGGTACATTCCAAATCCAAAGACAAGACTTCAAATAGAATATCCAGATTCCAACAAGGCCAGAAAGAGCTGGGACATCTTGGCTACCTACCCTTGCTTATTTCAAACGAATAGTTGAGCTCCAAATGACATCTTTTGTCATCATCCACAAACTGCACAACAACAAGAATCCACAGATAAACCAAATTCATCAAATATTTGCCTATGTTGTGGATGAATTCCTGGTACAGGCAATAGCGCAAAAAGGACGGACACAAAAGCAAAATGTCTCTTTTACCTATGTTGTGCGGACTCTCCAAAATGCCACCACATTCGTGTCTGATAAAAAGCCACTACTTTTGGAGGATCCGACACGCACCCGTCGACATTTTGGGAAAGTTCGAGTAACATAGTTTTACACTACAGATATATTTTAACTACTTGTAAATCGCTATTTACTTCATTTTCTTGGTAACCAGATTAGGCTTCTTGCAGGCACTTACATGTTGTAGGTCACCTTAATTTGGTAGTGTAAAAACACCATGCACTATCATGACCAACACACGCTCAACAAGAATGTGATGTGAACTCTACTTATTCAATATGTAACTGCAGATGTTTCAACATTTCTAAACACAAGAAAGATATGAATGTCGAGTCTCACATATATCATCTAGCGCCAATCGAAAACAAAGGGAAATTTAAAGGTTAAATCTGTACTATCTTGAGGACACACTAGATCTATATCAGTGGGACGTTAAATGTTAAAACTGTTCTACATTTATTCTTGTGGACAAAATGGACTTATAGCATGCTTCATTTTGACTAAAGAAATGAAAAATACTGACTGATATTGGATACAGTAGGAATATAAATGCTCACACCTTAAGTTTAGCTGTATATGTTCCTCTTGCAAGTGCACCTGATGGAGTGGTCTCCTCTTCTAACATATGTATATAAGGTTCTCGCTGAGGAGCAAAGGTGCCCAGCATTCCCTTACTTTGATCAACTGACATCAAATGAACAAACAATGATATGTAAGGAAAGAAAATAACAGAAATAAGTGAAGAGCGAAAGTAGAGGTAGCACTTGTTTAATTTTAATTTAGACTTCCATGCCTAATGTTGGGAAAAGAACCTTGAGCCATTGTGCAGCACTTTTAGTGACAAAGTGAATCAAGTTGATACAAATGCATGAAATTGATGAAAACTAAAATCAAAACTAAAGATAATAGAATCAGAAAGGCACAAGAATTGAATATGTTCAGCAACTATAAGGTCTACATCCATGGGGAAATGCCGATATGGATTGTTCTTTCACCATGAGAATATTAATAAATTTTACACTTGGATTTATAGTCTCCAATCCAATCGCTATGAGAATAATTAATAAATTTCACACTTGCATTTATAGTCTCTAGCCAACCCAACCGAAGTCCCTTGCACTCTTTCTAACTGATGAAGAACCAGTGACCAAACCTCTTCCTTCCTACTCTCTCTAGTTCTATTCCACAATTGGCACACCTTACTTTATCAAAAAAGAAAAAGAAGGCACACCTTGCCTCAAATTGTCCGCAGTTTTACAGACACAAATGTATCTATACCTCCTGGTAAAGGGAAACCAAGATAAGGAAAAACTACTATGCGAGCCCATTCATACATAAACCAAGGGAATTCCATTATCTTAGAAAACAAATCAGGCAACATTTGTTTAGATTCCAGCCAAGGAATGGTAAGAAAGAGTCTGCAAACTTGGAGACCAAGTCGTTTGGTCTCTACTCTAGGCCAAACTTGGATATCGGGCTTCACGGAACACCTAGCAAAACCATATTCCATTTTAACTGCTTCACGAAAATCACACACAATCTACATGACTAATAATTCTAAAGTAAATGATTCAATTCACACACTATAACATGGTCTTTTCAGTTGATAAATGCACAACTCGAAGAACTCCTCTGCTAAAAAATAAAGGTATCATTTGTCTGAAAACTACAAATGAAAATGCTAGTATTAAATCCCTTCGGTGCTCGACTGTCCAACAATGCATTCATAAACAAGGGAGAGCAAAAGAAATAGGAAATGCAACTATAAATCAAACCTTGAAGACCGGCCTTCCATACTGTATTTGTGTAAGCCAAGCCAGAAACAATATTGTGCAGAACACTAAATGTTAGCTTAAGCCGGTACTCTGAGCCCTCCCTGAGGGTAAAAAGAACAGATTTGCTCTGGCCTTCTTTAACAGGCAATGGAGTATTTATCTCCTCAAAGTCGGAGGAAAGAATTCCAACTGAGTGGAACTTAACTTCAGGTTCCATTTGTCCTAAAAAATTGATCCAAATAGTCATTAAATAAGATTTAAAGGCTAATTTCCGAGTAAATGGTGTGCTATGATTAGGAACACAGCTTGTCAAAAAGACAGACAAACCATTTAAGTCACTTTCCAGGCAACCAAGCAGCTTCTCTTTCCACCTCCTCAAGCTCTCATCCTCCTGCGCAAACAAGAATAACCATATGGAAATTCAAAATAATGAAATATGGAAACAGATTTACTGAATCTTCCAATGCAAAAGACGATTCAAATTAAAATAATGTAAGGCAAAAAAGATCTGACGGAGTGAGCAAGAATCAAGGTAGATTGAGAAGGAATGCCCTATATGGTACAGCATAGAAATTTCCGCAAATGAATTTTCCGATGCAACTAAGAGATATTTTCAATTTCAAGAATGTAAGGAGAGAAAAATCCCACTGGAGTAAGCAAAAATCCAGGCCACTCCAAGCCAAACTTGACACCAAAGCAGAATAAGGAATACTTAGATGTCACAGCATAAAAATTCTCTAGATTAAATGTTGTCAGTACATGAATCCCAAACGAAAATCACTTACTGTATTCAGGGAAAAGCTCAAATTCACAAAAAGCACCAAACAAACCTTTTTTATCCTTCATAATATCAAAATTGGTGGTCCTATTTTGTCTTTTCTTCTTTTCCACTTATTTCTTTTAGGGGGTGGGTTGATGCAAATTCAAAATCACTTCCTGACGAAACAACCTACATCACCTAAAGCAATGATCTTTGAAAAAGAAATATGCAAGACATCAACTAAAATAACAAATACATATATAGATGCCAAAACCAGATAAGCGGAACCCTAAAATAATATAAGGAATTGAGACACACATGATACATCAAAAACACATAAAGATAACAAAAACAAGAGAGACCCATCGTCTATTTTCAAGCTGTAAGCCAAATAAAGTTCAAAGCTCTTTGAGTTTCAAGAGAAGCAAACAAATGGGGGTGAGTTAAACAAGAAAACCAGAGGTGAACTGAAAGAGAGAACCTTGTCCTTTTCAATTTGATCTTTGAGAGAAAGGAGAGGACCAGGTACATAACTTGTTGTAATAATATCAGTAGCAGAATCTTGATTATGCTCATCTTCCTCACTATCTCCCTCTTCTAACTCCTCCTTTCTCTTGTCTTCACTAAAGTTAAGGCCACGTGATGGACCTGCTTCCTCTTTGTTGTTGCCACCCTCCATCATTCTTGATTATCTCTCTGTGTGTTGGGGTTATGAGTAGAGGGCAAAGTGTATTCTAGCAACAAAGGATATAGCAGTAGGGACAGTGAAGATTTTGTTTTGACAATTATTGAAGAAGAAAGAAAAAGGGGGTGCAGAAGATAAGTCCAAATTTTCAATTCTTGGAGACAAACATAAAACTCTTATCTGTCTGACATTTGTTTTCCTGTCTCTTGTCTTTTCCTTTTCTTTTCGTGGGGGGCGTGCTTTTCTTTTTTCTTCATTTAGTTATAACGTTGCAAGGACTTTCTTTTTCCTTCACATACTTAATAAGGAAAATTTTCTTTACTAATACTTAATAAGGAATCAAAAAAAAGAGATCTTTACCCAAATAACCTGTTATTCATCGTTTACTTTTCTAGCCATATACATAATTTATATATTAATTATATATAATTATACAAAAATAATATATAAATTATGTATATATTATACCTTCACCGCTTATTTTTCGTTTAAACGATTGGGTGAGCGGCTATTTAGATTAATTGTTCTCAAACTTAAGAGTGGTGGGTGATAAGTATTTCCCAATTCATATTCATTACTAGTTAGTAAGGAATGATTTATCTCGAAAACAAGTTTTTGGTATAAATTCGGATTAATCGGGTGAAAAAAAACTTGGGTAGTCATGAATAAAGACCACATAGATTTTTTTTTTTTTTTTTTTTTATTAAAA